AATATTTATAGCTTTATTTATGGGTGAAACTTTAGAATTATATTTTTTCTGGATCAAAAACTGAAATATCTGTAGAAATCTTTTACTTATCATCTGAAGTGGTTGTGTAATACAATAAGACAAATTTATTGTGGCAAAAATGCTTGCCGAACTTATTTGATAAACTTATCCAGATAGTTCTGTTTTATTATTGTTATTACAGTTGTTGTTGATATTGTTGATTTTTATTGCTTTGTTTGTGGTCATTTAGTACTGTAGATAGGATTCAGCAAGTGGAAACACAAACTTGGTGAGCCTTGTGATGCGAGACGGGGGATCCGATAATTTTTGTAAATGGGGCTGCATTACTGCACTGTGACACTGTGATTTTCAGTACAGTAGTGCCAGGTGTATTGATGTACAGTGCCTTGAAAAAGTATTCATACCCCTTGAAATTTTCCAAATTTTGTCATGTTGCAACCAAAAACATAAATGTATTTTATTGGGATTTTATGAGATAGACCAACACAAAGTGGCACATAATTGTGAAGTGGAACGAAAATGATAAATGATTTTCAAAGTTTTTTTTCAAATATCTGAAAATTATGGCGTGCATTTGTATTTAGCCCCCTTTACTCTGATACCCCTAACTAAAATCTAGTGGAACCAATTGTCTTCAGAAGTCACCTAATTAGTAAATAGAGTCTACCTGTGTGTAATTTAATCTCAGTATAAATAGAGCTGTTCTGTGAAGTCCTCAGAGGTTTCTTAGAGAACATTCTTGAACAAACTGCATCATGAAGATGTGGAGAAGTTTAAAGCAGGGTTAGGTTATAAATAAAATATTCCAAGCTTTGAACATCTCACAGAGCACTGTTCAATCCATCATCTGAAAATGGAAAGAGTATGGCATAACTACCAAGACATGGCCGTCCACCTAAACTGACATTTCGGGCAAGGAGAGCATTATTCAGAGAAGCAGCCAAGAGGCCCCATGGTAACTCTGGAGGAGCAGCAGAGATCCACAGCTCAGGTGGGAGAATCTGTCCTCAGGACAACTATTAGTCGTGCACTCCACAAATCTGGCCTTTATGGAAGAGTGACAAGAAGAAAGACATTGTTGAAAGAAAGCCTTAAGAAGTTCCGTTTGCAGTTTGCGAGAAGCCATGTGGGGGACACGGCAAACGTGGAAGAAAGTGCTCTGGTCAGATGAGACCAAAATTGAACTTTTTGGCCTAAAAGCAAAACACTATGTGTGATGGAAAACTAACACTGCACATCATCCTGAACACACCATCCCCATCGTGAAACATGGTGGTGGAAGTGTCATGTTGTGGGGTTGCTTTTCTTCAGCAGGGACAGGGAAGCTGGTCAGAGTTGATGGGAAGATGGATGGAGCCAAATACAGGGCAATCTTAGAAGAAAACCTGTTAGAGTCTGCAAAAGACATGAGACTGGGATGGAGGTTCATCTTCCAGCAGGACAACAACCCAAAACATACAGCCAGAGCTACAATGGAATGGTTTAGATCAAAGCATATTCATGTGTTAGAATGGCCCAATCAAAGTCCAGACCTAAATCCAATGGCGTATCTGTGGAAAGACTTGTTTATTGCTGTTCACAGATGCTCTCCATCCAATCTGACAGAGCTTGAGCTATTTTGCAAAGCAGAATGGGCAAAAATGTCCCTCTCTAGATGTGCAAAGCTGGTAGAGACATCCCCAAAAAGACTTGCAGCTGTAATTGCAGAGAAAGGTGGTTCTACAAAGTATTGACTTGGAGGATGAATACAAATGCACGCCACACTTTTCAGACATTTATTTGTAAAAAAGTTTGAAAACCATTTATCATTTTCCTTCCACTTCACATTTTTGTTGGTCTGTCACATAAAATCCCAATAAAATACATTCACTTTTTTGGTTCTAACATGACAAAATGTTGAAAATTTCAAGGGGTAAGAGTACTTTTTCAAGGCACTGTAAGTTAGAAACCCAGAAGTTTGTGGACAAATCTAAAATCAATGGGCATTAATGTGGAGTACCACCACCCCCAAACCCCCCCCCCCCCCCCCCCCCCAGCCATTAGTGTGGAGTCTTGGCTCTACATGACTTGGTGTGCAGCTTCTAATGTGAGAAGCTCACAGTGTGCACCTAAATCAGAGGAAGCACAGGAAAGGAAAGGAGCCTGGTCTGTACAACTGTGCGGAACTGAACGGGAGGCCGCAGTTCAGATTTATAGCTAAAGTTTAGGTATGGCTTTTTTTTTTCTTTTTTTTTCATGGTTACATTGTTTCAGCTTAGACCAGTGTAGGTATGTATATGCCATACTGGCCAGATCACCTTGGAAGCTGGAAATAACTGTAGCCAGTACTGCTACTACAGTGATTGCTGCTGGCTTCTGGGTCCCTTGCCAAGCAGCTGCACTGCTGCCTAATGTACACAGGGGATTGGTCCCTCAACATGGGCACCATTCAGAGAACACTTTGCATTCTCTCAGTGAATGCAAAGTGTTCTCTGATTGGACTAGTAGGAGATTGTGACAAAATTTCACTTTTTTATGTATTGAAAGTTAGAGAGAAATGCAAAGTGTTCTCTAATTGGCACCCGTGCCAAGAGAGGGACCTCCTGTGTTCACTAAGCAACAGGGCAACCAGTCAGCACTGGATCTAGAAGCTGGCAGCAGTTGGTCCACAGGAATCAGCCAGGTATGGAACATGCATACATTCATTGCTCTAAGCTGAAACAGTGTAAATATGAAAAAATTATCCATACCTTAACTTCAGCTTTCAGCCTGGAAATGTATCCAGTAAAAACTATATTCTGAGGTGGTTTGTTTGGGACTATATTTTAATTCTGTAGTAATTTAGAATAGATGCTGATGCACTGTCTGATTTTCACATACCTGTGAGTACCCAAAAAATATTTGAAAATTGTGCACAGATGAGTTTAATATTTTAAAAGGCATATCAAGGATGATCTTAGTGTAATAACAGAAGACTGTGTCTTGCTGGAAATATCCCATAGGTGTAAGCCAGTCTTGTCCCATTAAAACTGTATTGGGTCTGTTCGCATTTCACCACACCGTATGGTGAATTTAGAGGACAAAACGACACTTACTTTAACATCTTGTGCTCCGGAAAAGGTTATTTGCTCCATGATCTATTAATCTGCTTAACGAAGACCGGGCAGATCGTTCTCTGCCATTGTCACGTTAGAAGATGTGCCTATAATCTGTAATCCTCTTACAACAGGACATTCCACCTCCAAAAGTGACCGCCATATCTGGCCTCATTACCTGATGCTACATTTTACATACTCCGGATGTGTCAGTATCTTTTAGTCTGTGTGCGGGATTTAAGCCGCCACACTTTACAGTCGGATTGTAAGATTTTACATTTCAATTGATATTGATGATTGTTTGTTGGTTGCATTGTGAATGGAAATTCATTACATCAGGCCAGATTGGAATTTCTGAATAAATTGAATGTAATCAAATTAATTAGACTGTTCTCTTTTTGTCAGACCAACTTTCATGGTGGTTTACATATGACCACCTCATTAGCCACAATAAAGTAGCAGTAGTGGGATCAGCAAATGGGTGACCACCTCATTAGCCACAATAAAGTAGCAGTAGTGGGATCAGCAAATGGGTGACCACCTCATTAGCCACAATAAAGTAGCAGTAGTGGGATCAGCAAATGGGTGACCGCTAAGGCCTGTGGTTTCTGAGGGGACCAGACAGACTTGCTCCTCCACTTTCCCAGCTAAGATATCACATTTATTATATGTAATGAATAAAAGGCTTGTGTTATGGCTACCATGTATCTATTGAAAACTCCAGCAGTGAGAGATCCACCATGATTCTGCTGTTTCCCTTTGCATTCTGATATCCTAAAATAGATGAAAACCCTAGCAGAGAGAATGGGACCCCTCAAAATGGGCAAATAAGAGCAGAACTGTCACTTGAGCTAAAACAAAAAGCGCTTCAGGTGGTTTAACTCTTAAACCTCTTCCAAGCGCTGCAATATCAGGTTTGGGTGAAGTGACCCTTAAGCTGTCTTTTATAATTTTATCAGCTTTATATGTATGTATGTCAGCATGTGTTTTTTGAGGGTGGTTCAAATAATGTTTTAACAATTTTTATAGTTTTTTTCAGAAAAAATACACCTTTTATCATTTTAAAAAGCCAACCTTCATCTCTTCTCAATGACTTTGCCTAGGCTGAGGAGATGCCATCAGTCTGTTGCAGGCAGGAGGAAACATTTCCTCAGTATCTTCTCCCCAGTGATCAGAACGCAATATTGTAACCTGGTAGCAACTTTGTAGACATGACTGTGTCATCTTTGTTCAGGAAGTAGATTGTGACCCTGGATAATGCCTGATTAAAGATGGCTCCATCTATGGGTGCCTTTATTAAAATGGGACTTTAGAGTGGGCTATGGCTCCCTATGCTTCCACCTCCGAAACCTGGGATATTTGAGCTGTTGAAGAACTACAAGTCTCATAGAGTGCTAATACCCTCCTGAGATTTGCAGTAGCATGGTTTCTTAAGCCTCAAATGCTGCCAGCGGTTAATGAAAACCTTTTGGCCTCACCAAGCTGTTTTCTTCTCCTTTTCTAAGAAGCTTGGCTATTGTCTTGTATAAGGGATTTTATCTCCTTATTAAATGTAATTTCTAAAACAAGGCTTATTTGGTTTTTTTTCTCCCCTTTTTGTGTCCCTCAGTTAGCCTAACCCAGATTTGGATGCATTGTAAGAGAATAGCGCCCCCCCCCGGGCTAGGCCCCTGGCGGATAATGTTTTATAGGTGAAATTTCTCATTTCAGGAGCCAAAAAGAATGTGCTATTAGTTGATTATTCCGCTAACAAACAAGCAGTGTTCTGTTGCTACCTGCCTGGTCATTGTTCCTCGCTGTGTACTCTTCGCGGTGGTATTTGGATGGATTCCTACTCGTTTCGTGCACAAAAAGCCATTGCTATTACAATGGACTCTAACGACACAATGACGGCATTAAGGATTTATGTGGAGCTTTTTCATTATTTTCTCTCCGCTTTTGTTCCTTCCAGGATGTCTTCCAAGAGACCGGCCTCTCCGTATGGGGATGCAGATGGAGAGGTAGCCATGGTGACAAGCCGGCAGAAAATGGAAGACGACGAGAGTGGTGCCCTCGCAGCCTTTCACCTTCCCTTGCACGCTAGTTTCCCCAACAAGCCTCACGCTGAAGAGTTCCAGGCGGTTTCTTTGCTGACACAAGATGTCTGTGACCACAGGAGCCCCACGTACCAACACAGCGCAATGGTAGGTGGCCCATCCATTGGCCAACATCTCAATAAGATGGCCAAGTTATTTTACTGCGTCATTATTGACCAAAGTATTGTCATATCTTTTGCCAAGCAAATCAGTAACTTCATTTGTTCAAACCTAGCTCTCACGGTTTTATACCATATAGCTAAAAGTTTGTGGGCACCTGACCATCAGTTTGATATGACCTTTCTGAACATCCCATTCCAAAATCATGAGCTTCTTGACGCTTTTGGCAAGGCTTTCCACAAGAAAGTGGTGGGTGGCTGTGATATTGATGTTGGTTGAGAACACCTGGCTTGCAATGATTGTTCTAATTCATTCCAAAAGTTTCAGTAGGGTTGAAGATGGGATTGTTTGCAGGCCACTTGAGTTTTTACAGACCAAACTAGTCAAACTGCATCTTTTATGAAGCCGGCTTTATGCACAAGGGCTCATTCATGCTAAAAATGAAAATGGGCTTCCCCAAACAGTTGTGACAGATGTTAGGCTCACAAATCTCTAAAATGCCTTTTGTCTGCTGTAGCATTAACATTACCTTACACTCAGTTATTTGGAAGGGTGTTCACATACGTTTGGCCATACAGGTAGGTTAGATTGGACTCTTAATGAGGTTGCAGTTCAGACAGGCTATATCTTGAGTTGACAACTTTCTGGAGCAAGATGGCCTCTTATTTGGTTGTTGCTGCTTAATTAGACTGGTTTATAATAAGCAATTTGGAGCCCTTGGCACTCATGCAGAAGGGCACAGTGCATTCTACAGCTCCGCTAACAAACACTTTGCCATTCACTTGGTTTGCAACGTCATTAAGACAGCTGTTTCACTTTGTGCTAGTCTGTTGACCGGGCCTTTGATGACCACCAAACTTTTACAAAAGCTGTTCAGGTAGAGCAGCCTCCGCCAGTCTGAGGTCAAGGTTCCCTCTAGAGGAGGAGTGAATTACTTCAAATGCCTTTATATTTAAAACTGAGGAACCTGGAGAAGTGCTAAAACATCATTGCAGTGGAGTGGATGTTGAAGTGTTTGTGATCCCTTTGATGTATCCTATTCAACAGTTTCAAAAGTGAAGTCCATTTGTGTCCTCGTAGTCATGCTATGGTCCCTTTATTCTTGAAGCAGAAGATAAAAATGACATCAGCAGAAGTGGCTTCAACCAAGAGACCTGGAAGTAGAAAGATAAGACTTCAGTATTTCCTCTTACCAAAAGGACTCCACCCGGAATGGAATGTTTTGTTGTTTACACATAAGTAATTGAAAACTCTAATTATGTAAACCTAGGTAATGCCCTCCCTGATCCTGATCAATCTGTCTGCTTATTGTGAAAAAAACCTCATATTTACCTGTGTTGCAGAAAACTTTGCTTTCATCTACCTCGGCAGCTGGTCACATGACTATGAACCTTTAGCATAGCAATTCTGTCCACCACAGTAAACCTTTAAAGGAGGGATTGCTGTAATTTGATCACATGCTGCAGACATCTGGGTATGACAGTGAGCCTGTTACAGGAGCAGGAGGGTGAGAATTGCATAAATTCTTTTCTTTTGCAAGAAAATGATGTCTGAACTTTTAGATTGAAGTGGAAACGTCTTTTAAATGCTATTCATTTACAGAATGGATTGCATCAAAGATATACAGTTCATGTTACACTGACTTTGCTTTTTTAAACAGAAGTTTACCTTTAAAAAAAAATTCCCTGAAAGTAGATCCACAGCAAATAAATCCTGATTGCCCTTTTAACTTAAAGTTACACTGAATGATATCCTTTTCTCTAAAAATAATCCAAACACAAAGTGGTTGTAAAACTGTACAAATGCTAACTGAAGTGACTAGCCTCATGTGATACACCAAGATGAAACAAATCCTCTTACATAAGTTGTACCTGTTTATCTGGATCCCTCTCTCCTCTACATCCGTTCAATGTACAGAATTTACACAGCATTTCTCAGCTCCATAAGACAGAGTGGGGATCTGAGGTCACACATTGCACATCTCAGAGCAGGGAGCTGAGTGTAATCTGAGATGTGAGTGGAAGGAAAGGACACACACCCTCCATATTCTTCTAGGGAAACATGCACGGTTGAGGTTACTTTATCTGCCCTTAGAATATTTTTATCAGGAAATGTTCTGTGTTTTTTGCCTCCTGGTAACGTTCTCTGGGAGCTTCCAAACCTCTCAACAAGCAGTACACACTAGTTCCAGCCATGCACACTATAAATCCCATAGTCCCTAGTCTTTCAGGAGTGAGCAAGGATGGCTACATTCCTACATAGTGTGGCTAATTTCATTCTCTGTGGTCCCACTGTAACAGGTAGTCAGATAACAACAGCAAAAAAAAAAAGGAATTTGGAATACAGCAATACAATGTACTTGTGTTAAAAAATAGATACTGAAAGAGGATCTTCACCATTGAAAGAAAAATTGAAAGCCAGCAGCTACAAATATTATAGCTCCTGACTTTTACCAAAAGGACACCTACCTGATCCAGCAATGTCCTCATCTGGGGTGGTTCTTGGCCGGTCTTTGCGTCCTCGGTGCCAGCATGTTTACTGTGGGAAACCACCTGTGAATCCTTGCGGCTTCCCACTGCACTTTGTGAATGGTCTCACAGCCTTCTGGGACCTGTGACATGTCCCAGAAGACTCCGGGTAAAGAGAGGGGGGGCCAAACTGAGAGAGGGTACCTATCAAAACTAGGTACCTCTCTCCCCAAAAAAAGTGTGAAAACAGGGTAGAAAGGTTTGGGTGAAGTTCTGCTTTAAACAGAATTTTTATAAATCTGAATTTAATGTCACTTTAAGGCCTCATGGACACAGGTCGTTTTTGCAGCCACTTTTAGGGGCGGCAGGTGTTTTTTTTTTTTTTTTTTACTGCTTCCAAACAGTTCTCTCTATGTTATCCTATGTGTCCATACACACATAGACTTTTAGAAGCTTTTAGTAGCAGCAGTGTTTACCATCAAGAAAAAAATCCCAGAACCAGTTAAAACGCTAGGTACGTTTAGCACATGAGCGTTCATTCATTTCAATGGCCAGAATAAATTATCATTCTGGCCAATGAAATGAATTAATGCCCAAGCACTTGATGCTTGTAAACGCACCTAAACACTTGTAGAAGCGTTAGATACTTTTACAGGCATCAATCATTTTTTCAGCAAAAACGCTGCTGCCAGGACAGCTTCTAGAAGAGTTTTTTTTTTTTAACATCCTGTGTGCATGAGGCCTAATTAGATCTTGAACTGCGCTCATTGCCTCAGAATAGATTGCGATCCAGCAGCGAATTCCTGGAGCACGCTATTGTGTGAATGGCGCTGTGTCTTTCCTGTGCACAGATGTGATTATGGTTCTCTGCAGCGCTTTTTTTTATTTATTTATTTTGCAGCGTGGCGAATAGATTTGCAAGGATTTTGCTAAAGCTGGTTTACAGACCATATGTGTGGGGCGCGGCGGGGTAATTCCCTCTGTGCCATTTCACACATCTTTCCCGTAACGGCATGTTTCCGCAAGAGATAGGCATGCTCAATTGTGACAAGTCAGAGGCGATTTCTCTGCATGCTTATCAGATTTTTGGGGTCCACTGACTGGTTGCAGTATGTCGGAAAGCGATATTCAATCCACATGAAAGACTTCTTGTGCGGATATAATCCAGGATTTGTGCAGACTTTCTGATGATCTGTGCACTTACTGATCTGCTATGAATCACAAAGCCAAGTGGCAGAATATTAGAGGCTGTCATTGTCGATTTCTATCACTTTCCAGATATTTAGTGGGGCCGAGCAAAGATCAGTGAATGTGCCAAAGTGTGCGAACCCAGAAGCAATGGCGATATGAAACAATGAAAGATATTGCTATGTTGGAGTTGGAGGACTTCATTCCTCACTGCCTTCAAATCCTGTTATATTGTCTTTTAACAGGTTTGTGTTTCCGGATTTGCTTTTATTCTGTGCAGTAAAATACTTTGCAATGCCGTGTGTTAATGTAGATGTAAACTTAACTGGATGACATTTAGTTTGCTATTTGCAGCACCCAGGACAAAGTTATCAAGTACTTAGATTGGAGACATCCAGCAGCACCACCTCCATAATAGTGCTTGCCTGATCCTAAATCCCAAACTGTGCCCCTCTTCCCTTTGTGCATATTCTTATTTATTCATTTCAGGCATTTATATAGCGCCGTCAATTTACGCAGCGCTTTACATATATATTGTACATTCCCATCAGTCCCCAACCCTCAAGGGTCGTACAGTATAACTTACCTTCATATACACACATACTAGGGCCATGTTAGACAGGAGCCAATTCACCTACCAGCATGTCTTTGGCTTGTGGGAGGAAACCGGAGTACCCAGAGGAAACCCACGCAGGCACAGGGAGAACATGCAAACTCCAGGCAGGTGGTGCCATCGTTGGGATTCGAACCAACAACCCTAGTACTGCCAGGTGGATCCGATCATGTCCTGCAGCTGGGATCCCTCTTCCAGTGGCCACTGTGCTTATTTTGGGATCACTTTGCATCTCCAGTTCTACCATTGGTTGTAACATGGACTTGGACAGTGATGCTGTGGAACCTTCCTGCTGGGTGTTTTCTGGGTCTGCCGGTTTTTGCTAATTGTAAATAGCGTTGCATTGGCCAGGGGCAAAACAAAAGGCAAGGGCACACAATTAATGAGGAGGTGCAGCTTGCCTTTTGCCTCTTTCATTCGTACCCAGTCTACATGAACTCACCACAGTATGGCATATCATTGCTCTGGACCGGCTTTCTGATAATGAAGATTATTATTATTATACAGTATTTATAAAGCGCCAATAGTTCGCTCAGCGCTGTACATTACAAAGGGGGACAGAACATGTGACAGAACAATACCAATACAATGCAAAACATGAGGGGATCGAGGGCCCTGCTCTTTCCAGCTTACAATCTAGGAGGGAGGGGATAGTGGTACAGGAGGAGATAGCTGTGGGGGATGGGGTGAATAGGAAGAGTGGAGGAGGTCGGCAAGTT